CGGAGTCGGTCTACATTGACTCGGCGACGCAGCGCTATACTCTTCCCCAGAACAGTGCGCACACCCACTCCTCCCTGCGCCCTCAGCCTGGTAACTGATCGTGTGCGTGCGTGTGTGTGTGTGTGTGTGTGGTGTGTTTCGTCGCGCAGAGTTGGAGCTTGAGCTGCGCCACGAGATGATGAACCTGAGGCGCAACCCGCGCTTCTACGCGCAGATCCTGATCAACGAGTTCCGCCCCTTCTATCAGGGGACCGCCCTCCGGTACATCACCAGCTGAGCTCAATGACTTCGCGTTTTTGCTCACCCGCGTCACCGCAGTGTGCCGGGACAGCCCGGCATGGCCACGCGCGAGGGAGCCGTGGCGTGCGACGACGCCATTCGCTTCCTCTCGAGCGTGGCCCCCATGCAGGACCCGATCTTCCTCAACTTTGGCATGTGCCTCGCCGCCAAGGGTACGAGGCCTTCACTCACGCCCACCCAACCACCAAGCTGGTCGGTCTCTCGCTCATCATGCCGCGCTTGGTCTCTCTCTCTCTCTTCTCTCAATCATCGACGATCGCGCAGAGGCCGTGGACGAGTGCTGCCCCACGGGAAGCTTCGAGTACCCCGACTCAGTGACGAAGATGATGAACTACGGGTGCGGGGAAAAGAACACAGCAGCGGCCTTTGATGTCCGCTCATATCCCGCACTCTTCGACTCATCAGCGCGCTGTGTGCGTTTGTGTTTGGCGGCGGACAGGTACCTGGAGGACGAGGCCAAGGACCTGGTGGGCTACGGAGGCAAGAACGTGCGGCACATGATCTTGCTCGCGTTCATCATCTGCGACGGCGACCCCTCGCGCGAGCGCCGCCGCATCATCTTCGATCCGCGCTGGCGGATGATGGTGCGTGCCCAACCAACGTCGTACACTTAGGGACTGTGGTGTGTTCGCGTAGTTGGGGCGCCGGCGATGCTCACACGTTGTGTCTGCCGCGCGTTCGCGTAGGGTGTGGGTGCGGGCGAGCACAACTCGCCGTTCAAGATCATGGGCGTGGTCAACTTCGCCATCGCCTACACGCCCCTGCTCGACGGCATGAAGAACAGCCCCATGTTCCGCAACCTGGTCCAGGTCGATCTCAAAGAAGACGCCAGAGAGGTACACGATCCTTGGTTGCTTATGTCGTGCGTGCTGTGCTGTGCAAAACATTCTCGACGTCTGGCGCTGATGTTGTTTAACTGTGATTGGGTGTCCGTTAGATGCTGGATGCGATTCGCTCGCTCCAGGCTGGGCCTGTGGCGGCCCAGCCAGAGGAAGACGACTGGCGCGCTCGTCTGCGTGCTGCGGCCCTGAAGGTCTCTCAGGCCACGGGCGGCATGATGCTCACCGACAAGCGCGAAGATTCCTTCATCAAGGCCGTCGACGTCTTCAAACAGCTCAAGGCCGTCGAAGGTACGCGTACACACCTTAACCATGAACACACGCACGTCCATTCCCAGCATGGCAGCTGACATTGTCTGTCGGTCTTCGGCGGCCCACAACAAAAACGTGTCAGGTCCGGGTGATGATGATACCCAGGCGAAGCTCAGGCAAGCGGCTCTGCTCGTGGGCAAGGCCACAGAGCACCTGGTCGTCTCCAACGCCAACGACCAGCAATACATTCGACCCGTTGATGTACGCTTTCCTTCATCGCCACCTTTCTTTCCCTCAGGTCGGTTAAATGACCGTTGTTGTGTTGCCTTTGCAGATTTTCAAGGATCTGCAGGCTGTGAGCAACGCCCCGGTGGAGTTCGACCCGCTGCGGGCAAAGCTCTCCAATGCCGCCCTCGGCGCTGCCCGCAGCACGGAGCAGCTGGTACGCACCGCCTCTCATTTCTACTGTACTAGCGGACAGCCAGCAGTAGTCCACATCACCCGAAACCTCACATGAACCGGTCCACCTCTCTCTCTCTCTCTTTCTTCTCTCTCCAGATCGCGCACACGTCGCCCGAGACTCAGAGGGGCGGGTACCAGTAGTGTACAGAGACCGAGGGCGGGTCCTTTGCCGCGCGAGAGGGGTACACACGCGCGAAGAAGAAAACTGTGCATATTTAATGGCTTGAAAACGCCACCCAGGCCCTTGTTGACCGTGTCCTTGCTGCCAACCTTGAGGGGTGCCTCCCCCTCGTACGAGATAGCATTCGTGTGCCACGCGCGCCATTCGCGCTCTACTCGTCCACCTTGCTCTGTCGTTAAGATTGCGGAACTCACGGAGAACCCAGAATCTCCGTGCAAAGTCCTTCTGGGTTGTGATTGGCTGGCGCCTCTTTGTCTAACTTGTCCGATGCACCCCTATGGGCCAGCTCTCAGTCCGGCACTCCTGGATGGATGGATGGATGGATGGTGACGGCGCCGGTTGTCGAGGGACGTTGACTTGTTGTTCATCGCACCCGCTCTTCTTCTTCGTGATCCTCCGCGCGTGCCCCACTTCGTTTCGCTCTTCTTTCCCCGCCTGGCCACGGAAAGAAAGGAAACAACTTCTGCGGCCCGCTCTCTCTTCAGCAGACTCTCACTTCTCCCTCCTCGCAGCACACACACACACACACACACGACTCCCGCTTCTCCTTCCACCCTTCCCCCCCCCGTCCTCCACAACTCCTGGAGAAGCGAAGAAAAGAACGAAAGCGAAACGTTATCCACTGGCGAGTCGGTGGACACACGACCGCTTGGACCACCCAGGAGCTGGGGTGTGGCGAGGGACGCGAGCCCCAGAAAGAATGAACACGCCTGCAGGCGGGGAGGGCAACAAGGCGGCCCCAGCAACGAGCGGGGATGGAACGGGCTTGCAGAAGATGACGGTCTACGAAATACTGGTGACGCGGGGCAAGAGAAAGCGGATGATGGCGAGCAAGGAGGACCCCTTCGAGCGGATCGAGCGCCAGCTCCGCGCGGCGAAGCGGTTCCGCGTCGAGGAGTACATCCGCTCGCTCGCCACCGACAGCCGAGTTGACGAGGACGAGCAGCGCAAGCGCTACGCCTTCTTCTTCGGCGGCGATCGCTCTTCGGGCTCCTCTGCTCTCGGCGCCGCGCTGGCCACACCGCCTGCAGGGCCGCCCGCTCCGCCACGAACCACGTCCCTCACGGCCGGGCCGAGTCCTCCGCCACTGGTTGCGCAGGCGTTGACCAGGACTGTCGGTCAGGCCGGAGCTACGGTGATCGCCAGCACTCCCTCGGCCTTGTTCGCCTTGCCCGCGACGCACCCGGCGACGATGCGCCCTATGCCGTCATCAGGCGCGACCGGCGGGCCTGTTGTGGGATCGATTGGGCTGCCGTCGACTTCGAGCTGCAGCTACGCGCTGCGTTCGCTCTATCCGCCCTCGCGACCCAACATCCTCGCCACGGCCTCGCCCTCGCTCGCGAGAGGATCGTCATCGTCGTCGTCGTCGTCGTCGTCGTCTTCATTGTCGTCCTTATCGCCGGAGGCATCGCCAGTGGCCCTGGCCTCACTCTCCTCCCCGGTGTCGTCGCCTGTGGTGCACTCGCCACGTGGCCCGCCCGTAGCGCAATCGTCGGCTCCCTCGGCTTCTTCAGCTGCAGCGCGGCAGCCGACATCCACGAGCTCCTCCCCATCGGCCTGCTGCTGCTCTCCGCCGCCGGGTGCCAGAGCTGCATCGCCATCGGTGTCTCCAACAACACCGACGAAGCGGACAGCGGGCAGCAGCAGCACAGCAGCTCGACGCCCCGTGTTGTCCCCCAGCAGCCTGCGACCGGCCTCCGGGATGTGCGACTAGTGCAGCTGCGCTCGAGAAGTGTAAATAATGTAAAATAAAATAAAAGTCTCATTAGTTCCGCAGAAGCAAAAAGAAAAACAAGAAAGACAGATTAGAGACCAAACGGAAGAGAGATGCATCATGAACGATGGGCCACACACCGCTGCCCGTCCTTACCCATCACGACTGGATATGGGGTGGTGGCCGCGGTGGTGGCGCTATGCTGCTGCTGCATGATGCATCAGGTTGAGGGCAGCTGGACGTTTACCGAGGTGGTGGGGGGAGATGCGCGGACGTGCTCCATTCGCGATGACGAGGGGAGCGTGAGCCGCAGCAAGTACCGTCTTCCCTCCTCCTGGCCCAGCGAGGCCTTCTCGTGGACCGGCCTGTACGTAGAATCTCTTCCCTTGCATCTCTACTCTTACGATTTCCTATCAATTAATCTCAACTGATTTCGGCGCCAAAGCGTTACCAAATGCTTACCTGCTTGTGGGGAGGGCAGCACTACACGGCCCACGTCTTGCCGCCTGGCAGCTGCTCCGATGGCGCGCCTGGAGGCTGGGCTGGCGGGACTGGCGGGCCAGGAGAAGGCCGCCACAAGATCAAGGCTGCCCTCTTCCGCCACACTTGGGACCGGTGCGTGTTTGTTGGCAGCTGCTACTCACCAAGCTCGAAAAATGCACTTTCCCTTGGCTGAATGCGTTCTTCTCCTCTCCTCTCCTGGAACACGCCTGTGGGCCACACAGACCACTTGCGTTCCACTTTGCTGGCGAGAGCGGAGTGGGTAAGACCTCGACCGCGCAGCTGCTCGCACGAGCCCTTTACGCAGACGAAGACCTTAACGACGATGGCAGGTAAGTGCACATTGCGTCACACACCTACACTCCGTCCTGACACGCGCCCGCAGACCGCCTCCAGGCCTGCTCGTGCTCGATGGTGAGTACTTTGATTCCAAAGCTTCAGACAAAATCGAGGAGGTGCGTCTGTAATGTTCGAGTCTTGCTCCTTCCTGGATTCTATGCCATCTGACTGCGTCCCTCTCTCCTCCGCTCTTCTGCTTCCTCCACCCACTCACATGGTTGAGAGTGTTGTAGTACAGGGACCACATCACGCGCGAAGTCATAAGCCAGCTACAGCGCTGTCCGCGCTCGATCATCGTTTTTGACGAGGTAATGATTGTCCCCCTGCCCACCAACCAGATGCCCTGTCGTGCGCTTACGCTTATTCGATTCTCGTGTCTTTGGGGGCCAGCTGGAGCTCGTGGACCCGCGCACGCTGGCCATCTTGGAGCCCTTCTTGGACAAGCGTTTCATTTCCTATCAAGGCACTGCGCACCATCACCTTCCCTTCACCTTGACGTGTCCTCTCTGACTTGCGAGAGGGATCCCTGGTGGTGCAGGTCAATCCGCCAATGCCGGACAAGCCATCTTCATCTTCATCTCCAATGCTGCCGCCTTGGACTCGGCGCTCACTGACCAAGAAGCTGAATCTGCGATGCGGTACACTCTCCGTTCCAGCTCTCACCACATGAGCATATGTGGCTACGACGCTGCAGTGTCCTCATTCTTGCACACAAATTAAGACTTCTCAACTTCTTCTTGTGTTTCTTGGCATGCTAGGGCGAGCCTGGCGAAAGCGTGGGGCGGCCGGAAGAAGATTGGGAGTCTCGTACAGAACATGGTGCCCTTCCAGCGTTTGGATGAGGTGGCTCTGCGCGAGGTCATGCGCGCGCGACTTGAAGGATTGGTCGACGTCTACGGCCAGCGCGAGGGCCTTCGGCGCGTGTGCTACTCGCATCGGGTGCTCGCAGCGCTGGTGGCCGAGGTGCTTCGCCTCCATCCGCGGACCAACGCGCGCGGTGTGGACCTCGTGTTCAACCCAAAGGTGGTCGAGCCCCTTCTCACACACCTCCAGAAGCTGCGCGAACGTGCACAACTCGACGAGACGCAGAGGAAAGACATGCTAAGGACAACCGAAGACGAAGACGAAGCCAAACACGAGACCGAGGAGGAAGGTGGCGGCGGTGGTGGCACCAAGAGCAGACTCGAGAGCATGTGGTGGCAGGCGGCGCGGCCATTAGGGTCTCTCTCTGCACGCATCTCGCGATCATCATCGAGGGCGACATCATTTCTCTCGCGGATGCTGTTTGACGCCCACAAGGGCGAGTGGCGCGGCGAGTTCGAGGCGAGCCTCTACTTCCACAAGGGCAACAGCATCGTCAGGGAGGAGCTGGTCGTGCTAGAGCTAAAGGAGCTCACCACAGGCAGCTCTGTGCGAGTTGATGCCAGCCAGCTCACTTTAGACACAGCAGGAAGGGATGAGTTGTAAATAAAAACATGTACGGTGAGGAAAAAAGTACCAGTTCAACTACAGCTGTGCTCCGGGGGTGCGCAGCATGGTGAGGGTCTAACAGCCGTCGGCACTGTGCATGTCGATCCGATCCCAGTTGGTCCCGCTGATGGTGCCATAGATAAGGGACCAAGTAGACGAGGCCGTCCCACTGGGGGAGCGGGCACTTGTGGTAGCGCACGTCAAAAGGAGCATCGCTGCCCGATGGATGAAGAGTCACCTTGCCCTGAACGTTTGCGAGGTGTCTTTGCGTCGTTAGGTGGTAGACAATCGTGCGTGCCTGCGTGTGTACTGTAGCTCACTAGTGGCAAGCGTAAACACACCGAGTCGTCGGCGGTGATGTCGCACATGCGCTGCTGAACACACCAGGTGCCGTCGGGCATGATGTCGTTGGAAGACACCACGAAGAAGAGCTTCTCGTCGAGTTCGGACACAAACTGGAAGGTGATGTTGGCGTAGAGAAGATGGCGTCGGAGTTGCAGTGGATCACCGGCTCCTGCCAGCCCGCCCATGTGTTTCCCACCACCAACGGACAGCTCTTGATCGGCATGGCTGGCTCCATCGTCAGAGGCATCTCGACCTCCGTGATGGCACGTGTGAGTGAATGGCAGTAGGTGAGTATCACCTGACTCCACCGGTGGCTTGTGGGAGACGCAGCCCGAACTGAGGGGTGCCTTGAAATGGGCAATGGCAAAGGGTCCCCAGTCCTAGCGGATGATGTCGGCGATGCTGATACCAAAGCCAACGGTGCCGGTGGCGCCCAGGTTTAGCGCAGCTTGTACTGGAGTCACGTGCAACACGCGTTTGCATCCAGTGCCAGTGATCTGGCGACTCACCAGATTCATGAGGGAGGACAACCCTCGGCGATGGGCTTGGCCAGCGTGATCACCAATGGCACCACGCCGATGGTGAAGGTGATCGGTGGCCAGTAGAGCGTGATCGGCAGGCTCCCCGACTGTGACACCGCAGCGTAGACGCTTTTGGCTCCCATGCTGAGCTCTGTCATCCGCTGTTAAACCTGATCAACGTGCAAGACTGCGAGATGTGGAGGACGCGTACCGAGCAGCGTGTTGGCCGCGAGTTCGAGGCCGTGGATCTTGTAGTCGGCCAGGTGGACACATGGGTAAGGCAGTGATGGCGTATTTGTCAATGTCGCGCACCTGATGCGCGGCAAGCGAGGTGAGGGCGAGCACGCTGGCTCCCTCCAGGTCGGCCTTCTCCAATCGGCGGAGGATCACAGTGGGGGCGCCGGTCGTAGGGTCCGGGCAGACCACTCGATACCATCCGAGAGGAGCACACCCGCGGACGGCACGTTGGTGACCATGACGTAGAGCAGCTGCGCAGAGAAGGTCGAGTTGAAGAAGAGGAGCATGGCGAGGTCGTGACCTGCACAGGAGAGGCATGGTGTGACAAGAGAGCAGAGCGATGAGCAAAGTAGAGCTCTCCAGCACGTGCACAGAGGAGAGCCAGACGGACATAGAGGAGGTGGAGGTACAGGAGAGGTGGACGTGGTCGTCTACGTGGGCTCAGTCGTGGATCACGAATTCAGAGCTCGACGCTCGTAGGCAAGCCAAAAGGGGGCCAGCTGCGGCCGCGCATGGACGAGAGAAGCTTCGTTGCACGCCACGACCAGCGCCACGATCACGACTAGCACCAGGCGCTTCACCGACACGGCACCGCAATGAGGGAGCTGAGACCTTTGCGTTTTCCGCCATGGTCGTAACCGCTGTTCTGCTTTTAATAATAAAGAAGGTGGAGAGGCGGGCAGAGAGGAGAGTGAACTTCAGTTCGTAACTGCTGATCGTCAGCTAGCGGCAGCAACGAATAGTCCATAACGGGACATAGGGTGCCCCTTTTTCAGCCACACTGGTGCAGCAATTTAGATACCCACGCACACAGCAGGACACGGTGGGAAAGGAGGAAGAGGAGAAGCTCTGCGTGAACTTACACTAGCCACAGGCTCGCAATGAAGACCATCAGGGAGATCGATCGGGCCTAAGGCCCAACAGCAACAGCCAGACCGATAGAGCATTGGTAGAGAAGGTGGAGGAAGAGAGGGAGAGGAAGTGGGCACAACGTACGCGTTAGAAGAGGGATAGCGAAACGTAGAACGGAAGGGCCAGCCAGTCCGTGGCATGCTCAAGGTCATTGAGCGGACCCACGTGCGACAGGTCCTTTATGTACTCAACTGTTGGGCACACTTTGAGCTTAGTCCCTTTGCCTCTTTCAACGCCCAGCTCAGTTCCTTCGGGTGGAAGCTGCCGGAGAACGTCGACAGCGCATTAGTCAACGATCAAACATCAACAGAGCGGGATACACACCGCTTCCACGTGGAGCCCATAATTGCCATCGTCGGGTCCCACATTGCCATCGTCGACCAGCCGTCCGCGCCCCGTGATTGATCGCCCTACCACTCGTGTTCCTGCTCCTGCATCTTCTCTCCCAACAAGTAGCAACTACGGCTCACATTCCGCCCACCCAGTCTCGCACAATGGTATGCGTGGTATGTATTACAGTTTGGCTGAGGCGCAAGGGTAAGACACGAGAGTGGTTCAGACGGGCAGGCCGCCGCTGATCTGGTTGAGCTGCATGAGCACCTGGTCCATGGACGGCCGTCGGCCGGGCTTGCGGTGCCAGCAGAGCTTCATCAGCCGGGCGAAGGCGGGCGGACAGTCCGACGGGACGGCGGGCCGCTTGCCATCTAGCACGTCCCGCACCATCTCGGCCATGTTGCCGCCGTGGTCGTCCTGGTACGGCAGCTTGCGCGTGAGCATCTCCCACATCACGATGCCGAACGAGTACACGTCGGCCGACGCATTGACATCGCCACCGCCGCCATCACCATCACCATCGCCGTCGCCGTCGCCGTCAGATCGCCGCGCGGGTAGGAGCACCTCGGGCGCGGTCCACGCCGGCGTGCCGCAGCGGGTCATGGTCGCGTTCTCGTGCTTGACGGTGGCAAAGCCGAAGTCGCCCACCTTGAGATTGCGCTGGTCGTCAACGAGCAAGTTCGAGGACTTGATATCGCGGTGCAGGATGCCCTTGGAGTGCAGGAAGGCCAGCCCAAGCGCGGCGCCGCGCAGCATGGCCAGGCGCTCCGCCCAGCTGAGCCGGGCCGGGCCGGCCAATAGCTCGCGCAGGCTGCCGCGCGGCACCAGCTCCATGACCAGCGTGAGGTTGCCGTCGGCGATCGAGAGGCCGAATGAGCTGGACGATGTTGGGGTGCGAGATGCCGGACAGCATGGCGGCCTCCTTGCGCATGCGGCGCATGCCGGCGTCGTCGAGGCGCGAGGCGAAGAGGCGCTTGACGGCAACCTGCATCCCGAGGTACTCGCCCTCGGACACCTGGCCGTAGCTGCCCTCGCCGAGGCGCTCGCCCACCCGCAGCCGGCCGCCGTCGATGATCCACGAGCACGCGTTGGACGAGCACAGGCCCTTGCTGCTCGGCTTCTGTTCCTCGACCTGATGCAGGAGCTCGGCCCGCAGGGACTCGTCGGCGTCGTGCGGTACCAGCAGTGCGGCGCCGCTCTCGCAGCCCAGAAGGGACGCGCCGTTGGGCAGGCTGGCAGCACCGGTGGCGGAGCAGGCTTGGCTGAACGAGGCGGAGCACAGCGCGGCGCCGGGCGGGCACAGGACGTTGAGCCGGCAGGCCTCCTGGTAGTTGCCGGGCTCGTAGGTGGTGGCCGTGTGGTCGTCGGCCAGGCTCATGCTGGTGCCGGGGCGGAAGTGCAGCGCGATCCGCTGGAGCTCTCCGATGGCCTGCGCGTCGTTCGTGACTGTGGCTGCCGCTGCGGCCGTCGCCGCATCGGAGAGCAGCGCGAGGGCGAACGAGGCGGCCTGGTGCGGCTTGGCAAAGGCCAGCATGTAGGTGCCGCCGCTGTGGAGGTGGGCGCGCGAGAAGAGGTAGCCCTTGTGGGTAAAGCAGTGGTGGCGCACGCGCAGGCCGTAGGCCTCAATCACGCCGTCGGCCTCGGCCGGGTTGTTCAGCCACAGCTGGTCCATGTCCGCCAGATCGCACACCACGTACGACACGTCGCGCCGCGGGATGCCGCGTCGGTAGTCGTCAAACTGGGTATGGCCGCCCGACGAGGTCGAGGCGTAGTCGCTCCGCGAGGCGCCCTGCGGTGAGGACGGGTACTCGTCCGACCCGACCGCGCCCACGCGACCGTAGCCCTGGTGTCCGCTGCTGCTGGTGCCGCTGCTCGACGAGAAGGCGCTGGTGCCGGTGCCGCCGCCCACCTCCTTCTTGATGCCCTCGAGGCTAGTGATGATGGCGTCGAACGTGGGCCTGGACGTCGGGTCGCGGTCCCAGCACCGGCGCATGAGGTTGGCGTACTCGGCCTCGGCTTCGCGCACCAGATGCTTGGGGGTCCGCGGGCGCAGGTCGTTCCGGATGACGGCCACGGCGATCTGGGCCGGCTGCAGGCCCTCGTAGAGCACGTCGCGCGTGAGCAGCTCCCACAGCACGATGCCGAACGAGTACACGTCGGCCAGCACGTGATCGACGTCGACCTGGTCGCTGAGCACCTCGGGGGCCATCCAGGGCACGGTGCCCATGGGCGCGGCGTGGTCCTTGGCGGCGTTGGACTTGAACTTGGTGAGCCCGAAGTCGGCCACCTTGACGTTCCACTTGGCGTCGAGCAGCAGGTTGAGCGACTTGAGGTCCCGGTGCACGATCTCTGACGAGTGGAGGAAGTGCATGCCCTTGGCCGCCTGGTGGGCGATCTTGACCTTGAGCAGCAGCGGCAGCTCCGGGATGAGCTCATTGTGCAGCAGCTGCAGCGCGTGGGGAAGAAGAAATCACACGCATTAGCCCCCCCCTTACTTCAAGGAAAGAAGAAGAAAATAAAAAAAAGAAAAGAAAAAGAGGACAAGAGAGATGGTTATTGACTGTACAGTAATCGAGGGGGAGGAGGGGGCGTACGTCGTAGAGGGAGCCGAGGGCCATGTGCTCCATGACGATGCAAAGCCGCGGGGGCTTTACGGAGGCTGCCATGAAGAGCACCACGTTGGGATGCCGGAGACGGGACATGATTTCCACCTCATCGGTGAAGGCGCGAGTTGATTCCTTGGTGACGACGTCCGAGCTCATGACCTTGACCGCGACCTCGGTCCCTTCCACACGGCCCTGTGCACGGCGCCGAAGCCGCCCTGGCCCAGCTGCTCGCCGATCTCGAGCTCCTCAAAGTCGATGGTGAACTCGTCGAGGCTGCGGTGGTCCTTCTTGCGCAGGAGCAGCAGAGCCATGACCACCGTCGCCAGCACCAGGCACAGCACGAAGGCACCGACCGGCAGCGCCACGCCCAGCGCGATGGCCACCACTGAGTCGTCCGACGAAGAACCACCCGACGAGCTCGGGCGCTCGCACAGGGCGCCGGTCCATCCCTCGTCGCAGGCGCAGGCCTGACCAGCGGCGGCGGCGGCGGTGTTCGCTTGGCAGGTGCCGTGGTCCGAACAGAGCTGGCCGTCGGCGGTGACGCACCCGTGGACCTGGCTCACGTGCTGGCCGTCGCAGGTGAAGTCGTCAAGGAAGAGCAGCATGCGCCGCTGGAGCACCTCCGAGGCAGCGCCGACAACGACGACGGCGTAGGTGCTGGCGAGCGAGGCCGCCTCGGGCGCGCTCTGGGTCCAGTAGATCCAGTCGACCAGGGCCTTGGCCTTGGAGCAGTCGTTCATGTCGCGCGTGTAGACCAGGAACTGGTTGTAAGCCGCGATGGGCCAGCTCGCGGCGCCCGGGCTGAGGACCAGCGCGCCGTCGGGGTCGCTGACCTGGCCTGGGTCGGACTCGATGGCGGCCCGCACTGATGCGTCGGACGCCTCCACCACGTTCTGCGCCGAGTTCACCATGCGCGCCTGCTTGACGTCGCGGGCGTCGATGAACAGCTGCGGCGAGGGCCAGATGGCGAACGAGTAGTGGATGCTGCTGAGCGACCCGGGAGTGTCGTCGGAGCACACCGTGCGCGGGTCGGACTCGACCGGCAGCACGGCGTCGGGGCCGGCCTGGACTGCGGCGGCGAAGGCGGGCACAGCGGCGGCGAGGGCCTTGGTGAAGACCGCGCGTATGTCCGACGAGCCGCCGCACTCGAGCACGGGCACGATCAGCTCGTCAGGCAGGGTGACGCCCGGGTTGAGCTGCGCGATGCGCGGGTCGTTCCAGCGCACGGTGGTGTTGAGGAAGATGCCGGCCAGCACCTCGAGGTCCAGCACGAGGCTCGCCGTGGCCATCTCGGGCACGTTGTAGGCCGGCACGAGCGCGTAGGCGATGGCCGCCACGCCCTGGGCGTCAGGCACCAGAGCCTGCTGGGTCGCAGAGAGGACCGAGCTCGAGACGCCGTAGTCGATGTCGCGGAAGGCCAGCTCCTGCTTGGTGGCGTTCCCGTCGGTGGCGTGGAAGTACTTCATGCTGAAGCTGGTCGAGGTGAAGGCCTCGGCCCATGAGGTGAAGACGAAGAAGGGCTCGCCCATGCCGATGAGCACCGGCGTGCTGAGCGCGGGCCGGCCGTCGCAGGTGATCTTGTACATCTCGTCGATGAGCCGGCGCTTGTAGGGGTTGGTGAGCGGCGCGAAGGCCACGGACTCGAAGAGCTTGTCGACGCCGTCGTTGGTCTCCACCCAGCTGAGGAACAGCAGCAGCTCCTGCACGCGCGAGCAGTCGAGCTGGCTCTGGCCGGTGCGGTTGCGCGAGAGCGTGATGTAGCTCACGAAGCTCATCGGCCACGAGTTCTCTCCGGGCGCGTCGAGGATCTCGAACACGAGCTGGCCCGAGTGGATCTGGTCGCGGTGGTCGTCCATGGCGGCCTGCACCGCCGCGGGGCTGCCCTCGACCACCCGCCCGGCCCGATTGACCATGTGGATGTAGGTGAGGTCGATCTCGTCGGCGGCGTTGCGCTCCATGTAGCCCATGCAGCCCGGGTTGGCCTTGACGTAGTCGATGCGCCATTGGCCCACCTCGAACGGCGGACCGGTCACCCCGCGGCCGTCGAGCATGGGCGGCAGCAGCTCGAGCTCGTTGCCGTTGGCCTGCAGCTCCTGCGCCACCTCGGGGGAGAAGACCGAGAGGGCTTCCTTGAACACGGCCGTGAAGCCCAGCGCGTTCTTGGACGGGCTCCAGTAGCTGAGCGTGATGTTGAGGTGCGGCAACTTGTGCGCGATAGTCGGGTTGAAGGCCGCGATGGCCGAGTCGTTCCAGGTGACGATCCGGCCCAGCCAAATCATGGCCATCGTGTACCCGTCCATCACGAGCGTCTCGTTGGCCTCCAGCCAGGGCTCGAGGTTGTAGGCCATCACGAGCGGCGTGCCCATCATGGGAATCTGGATGCCGTTGAATGGATCAAGCTTGTCCCCCCCGAGCGGTACGTCGGAGATGAAGAAGTCGATGAGTCCGTCCTTGTACTCCTCGAGCGCTACGGGCACGCTGCTAGCCTCAAAGTCGACCCGCACCGAGTCCCGCGAGTAGGTGTACACCTCGCCCAGCTTGTCGAACAGCAGGCCGGAGTTGAGTGGTCCTGAGCCCCGCACGTTGGCCTCGCACGCCATCACGAAGGCGGCCACGACCAGGAAAAGCCCAACGATCAAGAGGACTGGGCCACTCTCACGGCCTCTTCGAACAGTTCTGCCGGCCATTGGGGAATTGGCTCTAACGGAGGTGTCTCTCGTGATGCGTGCTGGAAGGTGATGCGAAGTGTAAATGCGGTGAGCTGACCCAAGGGTCGATACGGCCTTAAGGCGATTCACAACTAACAGTAGTGCATCGTAGCACGGGCGCCCCAGCAGGCAACTCCGGACTAGTTCTCTCTGATTGGGTGCTAATTGCAACCACCAGGCCCAGTTACCCAAAGCCACATCACCGGCGCACAACAGAAGCTGTGCTAAAGAGACAGGAGAGTTACACTGGTAGGTCACGCTACACGGGAGGTTAGAGTGATGCCTCCAAATTAAGCCTCACTGCACCATCGCCTGTTTGATTGGGCGTTACAAAGCCGCGGGGCACTTGAAAAAAAGTTCAAACCAACACAAACTTGAAAAGTGTTCGGAGTTGTCGTGATGTGTTCGGAGTTCCAAACTCAAATTACACTTACGTGAAGCAGCTCGGCGGAGCCAAGGCCTTAGTTCATTAAATCCCCAACTCCCCGGGTGCTTGTTTCACACAACAGGGAACAACCTCACCAGCCGGGCCATGTTCCCTCCTGTCCAGGCGAGAACGTTCAAGCGGCAGAGACGTTGATCGCCTACAGAGTAGAGATCATCAACCTCAAAGCGGAACCTGCCCCCACCGAAACCAAACCAAGCTTCCAAGTGTTTTCACAATCAGAATGTGTGTCTTTTATTATTCAACAGCTGCAGCGAACAGAATCAGAAAGGGAACGAGTTCTGGATGGGCACGGCATAGCGAGGGCTGATCTCGATGATGTCGCCGATGGGCTTGTCGCCAGGCTGACAGACCACCTGACCGGTGGAGCCCACAGCGCCCCGGTAGTAGCTGCCGTCGGCGCGGAGGCAGTCGAGACCGTTGAAGGTGAGGTCGCCGAAGATGCCGCGGGGCGGGTGGTTGGGGTTGGCGTGGTCGATGGGCCCCCACAGCTCGATCTGCACCTGGTTCACGATCGGGCGGCACCTGACGAGGTCGTTGCAGGCCACGTGCAGGAAGGTGATGTCCTGAAGGGTAGCCCCGGTCTCCTCGACGACGGCCTTGATGTTGAGGAAGGTCTGCTTGATGCGGATGTACTCGCCGTTGGGCTGGGTGAGGTCGGTCTGCGAGCCGTTGAGGTACCAGCCACGCGCACCTCCGTACACCACCTCCCGGCACAGCGGCGACACCTTGGCTTGGTAGGACCAGGTGCCGGTGGCGGGCGGTTGGTTCGGCGAGTTGTACCACTTGACGCACTTGATAGGCGGGGTTGCCAACGCTTGGGCTGCCTCGAGGCAGACGAACAGGAGACAGATGAGTGCTAGGGTGCTTGCGCGCTGCATCTTGTTGGTGCTTGCTTTTAGGTGTGTGTTTATGGTGGTGGTGGTTGGTAATTGTAGTGTTCTGGCCAGAACGCTTGGTGGTATTTATTGACGCTGGGGCACGGGCTATTGGCAGGTGGAGGTAGCGCAAGGACAGCCAATCACAATTTGGGTTGCCACAGCGCGACGAATGGGCTTGGAGCAAGGAGCGATCTACCAAAAATAGAGGAGGCCCGGTGTGTGTAACAGGTCCACTGCGGCTATGCAACCACTCACGTAAGCGCCCATCCCCCTGTTTCCCCCGTGGCCAGTTCACAGTGCATTGAGGTGGGAATACTCGCCAATCACTCGCAGCATTGAACCAGTTCATCCCGATGATCGCCACTTAAAACACGAATCCGTGGGAGGGAAATGATGCATCACGGTACCCTTGAACCGAGGAGCCCTGGCGGTGCGTCGAGCGTGAAGAGGTCGCACAATCTGGTCGCAGAGGAGAAGGTCCAGACCGGTTCGACCTGCGGGCAGCAAGAGGCTGAACTGGGACCCACAGGTGCACAGGCACAGTGTTCACTGGTGGTGTCGAGCAGACGAGGGCTTTGCTGACGCGAAGAAGGTCTGCACGCAGCTGCAGATTCCTCAGCACAAGTAAGTACAACATTTGTGTATTCTCCTTCCGTCGCCAGGTCGTCGCCACGACCGCCGTGCCATACAGGCACCGAGCTCTGCAGATGCCGTGTGGTGGGTACGTGTGGAGGAGTGGTAAAAGTCGAAGGCATTGACCATTTTAAGGTGATGCAATCATCTTACCCTTCCTCATCGCCTCGTTGCCCGCCTACTCCGTCCTTTACTATCCCGACTCCGATCTCCTGCAACACACCGGCCCACGGCCCACGACACGCACGGTACGAAATGAGGTGTCGAGTCGTAGGCAAGTGCAAGACAAGAGAGGGCTGAGTACCACAGTAACAGTTACGTCGTCCAACGATTGACGGGAAGAAGGCCTGCCGGGCGGCGTAATCGTCTTCGTCACGAGCGGGGATGCACGCCTTTAACTGGTGCGTGCCGGGATGTATGGGTGGAGCGCCACAAACTGGGCATAATTACATTAACTGCCGAAGACAAGCCACTTATTTATTGGGAAGCTGATGTGACTGGCCTCAGGAGCTGCCACGATGCCTCGTAGACACGAGCAGCATCCTGTCTGCTGGCAGGCGCCATTGTCAATGGGGGGGGGGTGCGAAGGAACGGATATCGATGATCTGGAGACAGGCAAAGAAAGTGGAGAAGTGGCTCCTGCTGGCAGCGTTGATGGCAACAGCCAATGTACCAGAAGCGCTATCAGAGCAGCCGATGACATGCCAGCGATGACCGCATCCACGAGCGCGGTCTTGTCATCGACGGTCTTCTAGCAGTAAACAGCTTGACGGCGACGTCAGTGCCACACCACTTGGCCTTGTCTATCTCCCCACCTATGCCGATCTTCTCACCAAACTGGATTTCAATGGCAATGTCGATGTCCCAACCGGGTCGTTTTGCATTGGCGTCGTGCGACGCCCACTCCGATGAACGCCAGCATCCTCCTTCGAGACGTTATGACAGGGTGGGCTTGGGCATCATTGTACAATTTCTTCCACATTCGGTTCTTTTTCTTCCACTTCGCAAAAACGCTGCCATTGGCTCCCCGACCAGACCTATCGGGACCAATGGACTGCTTCAGCAGGTGTATTTAGGCCTACCCTCCAGCTACCCGGCTTCTTACCACAACCTGCGGCCATGTGCTCTATGTGACTTGCTCTACTCGCTCTGTCCTTGGCTTTGCTAGCTGCTGCGGCGCCATTGCCTCTGGCAAACATCTACATGTGGAGCGCCAACTTCTTCTCCCCCTCTGACTGGTACCAGCCCAACATCACCTCTGGCCGTGTGTTCATTGACTCCAGCTCCCCCAATACCACCAACACGCTCTGGGCTGGTGCCAATGGCCTCAACCAGATCTACCTGTGCAGCAGCAATGATTCAACCTTTAGCTACTATGGCTGGGGCCAGTGTTCACAGATGGGCTGTGTAAATGGTTGCTGTGGCAAGTTGTACTGCATCTGCTGCACCCCATGTGATTCCTTCAACCTGCTCTGCTCACTCCAAACTGCTTGTTACTCTGGGTCATGCAAGATTGGTGGTGTCATGGGCGATCTCTGGACTGTTGCCAGTGCCATTTCAGTTTGCATGAGCCTGGGCCAACCCTTGGGTATTGTTCTCTGGGGCAGCTAAGTGGTGGTGCAGTTCTCCAACTTCTCAACTGTTGTTCCAGCGTCCACTTGGCAGCTGCCTTCCAACTGTCAGTCGCAGTGTGCTTTAGCCTGACCTGGCTTCTTGGCCAATAAATTGCTTTTGTGTCTTTTATGCTTGGTTTGTTGCATGTACCTTCATCTACAACTTTTTGCACATCAGACGCCTATGCAAGCATCTTGATGACCTCCAGAGCCAGTTGGTGCTCTCTTCAACAGTAGAGGATTTTTGTGACTGGTTTCTTGTGCACATCAGTTGTTGCTAGCTCTTGTTGTGACTGGTTTCTTGCCTGTGTACTCCTTTGCACACAATAAATGTTGTAATTTAATGGGTTGGTGATTTAACAAAAGAGAGAAGTGGAAGTCATGCTCTCAATGAATCACAAAGGACTTGATCATACCTTCTCTGGGGTGTCAGGCTGACACATCCTGTCATGTCTGTCTCCAATTCCCAGAATGAACACCAGTCAATGTTTGACCACAACATATTTTGGGTGCTGACAATGTTGTTGCACATGTAGGACTGATGGGTGGGGGGTGACCTCAGGATGGGCATGCATGCCAAGAGTGCAACACAGAAACAGAGGGAGGGCCTTACAGATATATAGTCTATGAGTGGACACAAGCTCTCAAGGAGGACATGATGCACAAGCTCAGAAAGATCAACATTCAGAGCCTCAACCCCTGCTACCAGCTCATGCAGGTTCACCAGGACAGGTGTGAAGGACAACACACTGCCAGTCTCCTTTGACTCATGTACTTTGCCAACTCCACAGTTGCTTTTTTTTCTGAAATAAAAATAATAACTGCTCACTGACTTATTCTGGAATAACATTGCTCAGCTCTTGCAATTCTCAACCTACTGTATGGATTGAACCTCACTGACCAAGAGGACTGGGACAAGGAACCTTTTCCTGTTGACCAGCTTCTCAAAACCCACCAGCAGCTCCACCAAGTGTGCTTCCATGGTCTTCATCATCTTCTGCGCCCATGAGGTTGCTGCCAAGTCCTGGGGGTCTTGTTTGGTGCCATTTTGATCCAACCTCCACAACAACTCAGTCCTCTACTTCACCCAGTCCCCATCTTCCTCCAGTTCAAGCTGCAACATACCCCACCACAAGGGGCACAGGGGGCTTGGTGCTGAGTGACCAGGCCAAATAAACCAGCATCACCTGCATGCCACATATTATGTTTGAGCCATTGACTGTGTGTTTTTTCATCCATCAGGGGTCAGAGGATTACAGAGTGGAAGAGAAGTTGGAGACCAAGGCTGGCCTTCACAATAGTAGCAGCAGTAGTTCTTCTTTGCATTGTCTATGAGTTCCTTGCTTGCTTTCTACATGAACTGTGGGTGGCTGGTCTTGATTGAACAACCACTGGTGAGCCACATCACATGGAAATATGTCAACTTGGTTTCACATTCCCAACATACCAGATTAATTATTATTAATTCAAAAAGGTCCAAGTGTGCCAATGCCATCAACCTTGTATTTGACAATGACCCCTGCGTCTTACCCCATGTCCTCACCCTCCTTCACAGCCCTCAACCATGTACTCAGCTGCCCAGCAAGGCCTTCTCCCACAACTCTGAGTCCATGGCAACAAGAAGGAGAAGGACTCATGAAACCAAAAAAAAGTATGGCTGTGCTGGTGACTTGTATTATAACTGGCATCAACAAAGGTGAGCAGCGACCTGGTGGCTCATTGGTGACTCACTCAGCTGCCCAAGACATTTGGCAGCACTCTCCCAGCATCTTGGTGTGCCAGGTGGGAGTGGAATTCCTGTCTTCTGCCCAAACCCATGAGTCTCAAAAGGGACAGACAGTTTTGAGCCAGAGTAGGGTGGATGGTTCATTACTTGGGGGAACAAAAGGAAGGGCTGTCTTTAATTGCTGGCCATCCTACTTGGACAACAGCATGCAAGAGCACAGCAGTGGTTATATCATTTCAGGCAGAGGAGACCTGCACTGACCAGCATGCTGGGCAGTTGTCATGGTGGAAGTGCAGGGGCTTGCCATGGGGGCAAGCCAAGCACCCACATTCCATGCACTCCTCATCAGGGCAGGACTCAAGGACGTCCTGTGGACCTGGAAGGTCCATTGCTCACTCAGTGCTGGGCATCAAAGGTGAGGGCATCGTCAGTGGGGTGGGACATTGTTGCAATGGTATCAGGTGGAGGGCTTGACCTTGTTGGTGGAGAATGGCTGAAAAGACATGTGACTTCTGTTGAACTTTATGGTGTGGCAAGTGGCAATGAACCCCTTGGCCCTTGAATGCTAGTTTCTGTTTTGGCGGTGCCATCCAAGCATTGGTGAGTGTTCTGCTGACAAAAACCAATGGAAAGCATGAGGTGGTCAGGGTTATGCTGCACTCAGACAGAAGGGTCAGCGAAGAGGGAGGGAACACAATCATCAAGACTGACTGGCACATCTCTACCTTCACTGCCACTGCCTTGTTGGACTTTGATGCAAGATGGAAGAACTGAAAGCCACAAAGAAGCACTTGTGTGGAGAGCATGACACCCTCATGTGGCCCATCACTCAACTCAGCAAGAGGTTTGCTGCCTTTACCAACAAGGTAAAGCAGCAGTGCCAGCAATTCAAGGAAGAGGTTGATGTCTTGCAGGCTGTGCTCATGCCCACACTCAAGCAGGTTGAAGTGCAACTTGAAGCCGTGGAGGCCATTCAGTTGTTGTTCTTGGCTGTCACTGCTGCCAAAGACCCCTCAGCAGGTGTGTTCTACAACTGCACAGAGCAGAAGACCATTATCAGCCTGCTTCGTCGCCTTCACCACAGTGACCAGCCATACAACCCACTGCCAACAGTCTTAAGCCAGGCACTCTACAAACACATCTGCTTGGGCATTGTGCGCATTGTCAAAGCCTGATATGAGAACTTATTGAAAAGAGATGACTGCCTCTCACTGGAGTGAGTGCTGCCCATCCCCAGTGAGAAGATGTACTCTGTCCCAGAGGGTGATGGACTCAAAGAGGTTGTCATGGATTCATGGCTGCTGTGGATGAGGACACCTTGGCAGAGTGGGTTACAGGAGAGAGCTCTATGCATCAATGCGCCCACCACTGGAGATGACCACAAAGGAATCTGTGAGGAGCCCACTGTCTGCCTCAAGGGTGTTCTTGTCTACTTTGTGCCACTCAACCCCATTGAAGGTCCCACCAAGAACAGCAATGGGGATGTAAGGCAGGATTGATGACCAAGAGGAAATCAAAGCCAAAATGCAGGAAGACGACTTTGCTGCAGGGGATGCTGTCTGCGCCACTTTGCCCATGGGTGCTGTTTCATGTCTCTATTTGGAAAAACTAGAAGGATCAGGTAGAGTTCATGGCCATTACTCGAGTGGCAAGGAGACATCATGGGTCTTGCCTCTCTCCAACAGTTCATCGCCATCCACCAGTTGGTTGTACACATGCTGGCCACCAACCAAGTTGGTGGTACCTCCACCACGCCAACGCACCCAGATGACCACCATGAGACTGGCCGCCAGACCCAACAGACAGATGCCCATCAGCGCCATGCCCATTCCAATGATGGCCTGTGTCCAGTCCTCTGATGGTGGTGGTACGATGTTGTCACATGTCTGGGCCATGGTGAAGGACATGTTGAACTTGGCCACCATGGGTCCATGGAAGACGCTGCATGTGATGTCCCACATGTGGATGTGGCTGATGATGATCATGTCAATGACCTTGGGAGGATACCAATCACTGGGCAATGGGCACTCCAGCACTGTTGCTGACAGGGGCTGTTGGTGGCGCTCATTGATCACCTGATGGAGACTGATGTTGGGTGTTGACATCTTGAAGGTGCAGAAGTAGAGGTGTGAGGGGAGGAAGAAACCCTTGAACTGCAACTGCTGGCCTGCCTTCATGCATACCTGCCTGCTGGGAGCCTTGAAACTGGTGATAAGTGAGGGTGTGGCAGCCCATGGGGGGCTGTCAAGGGCTGGCTGCAACAGCCAGCCAGACTTGTGGTAGTGGAAGGCCATGACAAACTCAGTGCCTACTGGCAAGTGCATGTCAAATGCTGGCACTGTGCACAAGAGCACCTGCCAGTGGCGTCTGGCTGGTGCTGTGAGCATGATTGTCTTCCTCTCCATCATGGTAGCGTTGTCCACAGCTCCAGAGTCGACAATGGTGGTCCACTGGCATGTGTAGTTGAGGGCTGGCATGTTGAGTGACACATGTGGTGGTGGTGGCACCTTCTCCCATCTGAAGAAGGTGGGAGGGAGAAGGTGAGGGTGAAGTTGTGCTCACCAAACCAGTTGGTGCTGATCAGGAATGTGAAGTCACCAATTGTCATGTTGGTGTTGGTGTCAGTCAGTGTCACTGTGAGGTTGGCCTGCACAAGAACAGCTGTCTCTGGAACAAAGTTCATGAGCCACAGCAATGTCTGCCTGAGGGCAGGAGGATCAATGACACAGCTTGCCTGCAGGTAGAGGTCATAGATGCACATGTGCACAGTGACATTGGCGAAGCAGGACAGGTCTGGCCAGAGCAAGTTGAGGTCTGTCCTGCCAGAGGAGATGTCAAAACCCACCTTGTAGTTGAGACCAGGGGCGAAGGGGCCTGATGATCTGCCTGTCCACACTTGCCACCACACCCATGCATCAACCTGACCACAAGTTGTTTGTTTTTTGTGTAATTATTAAGTAGATTATATTTGAAGCGAAAGAGGCACACTGTGGTCCACCATACCATGGTGCTCATAGCCATGGTTATTGCCATGATGGCTATGACACCAGCAGTAACTTGGCTGCAGCTCCCTCGCCCACGCGCCTTGAGCACCATGGTGTCATTGAGGCTGTAGACTGCCAGCACTGGTGGTCGTCAAACAACTCAGGGTGAAACAGAGACAGAGTCTCCCTCAAGTGGAAAGGGTGTGCAAAGAGGTAGGTTGCTCTATTGGAGTTGCACCACATGTTAATTTACAATTTAATGTAAAACGCAGAGATCTCTCATTATTTTAAAATTCCATTGACTATTCACCACACAAAGTAACAAGCAGAATTCCATCCTTTGTATTTATTGAGTATAAGCAGAATTCCATCCTTTGTATTTATTGAGTATTGTCATGCTCTGCCTGCACATGGTGGTGAGGCTCCTCTCCTGTAGGAAGGACTGTCTTTGAAAGTCAGTTGGCCCCTGCTAGAGGGAATGAAGGCCATCCTGATGTGCAAGTGTCACTTAGGGTTAGGGTTAATTTGTTTTTATTTACATTTTTTGACAAATAAACACAATGCCAGGCATAACTGCTGCCTTGGCCAGAGGAGACGAAGAAAACACTAAGTACAGAGGAAGGAAGGAGAGGAAAAGGGAAAGAAAAACAGGGGGGTAGGAAAAGGGACGGAGAAGCCAGGTCGAAAAAACGAAAACCGAAAAACGGCCGGCTCGGGGGGTAAAAACCCCTCTCTCCCTATCGGCCGAAGTCGAGTCGAGGGGGGAGAGAGACGACGACGACGACGAGAGAGAGAGAGAGACCTTAGGCGAAGAAGGAGGAGGCGAAAGAAGAAGGCGAAGGCTGTCAGCGGGGTCGGCGGTCGGGGTTGGGGTCCCAGGCCCTGAGTGCCAGTGGGGACCAACACAATGGTACATTCCATCACATACACATACACAATGACTTATTGCTCTTCATTACCCCTTCCACAGCTTACTCCTTTTTAGAAATATGCTGACAACTCATCACATACACATACACAATACTCATACAGGCCTCTACACCATCTTCATCAGTCAAGCAAACAAGTCCTATACCTTCAATCCAGAGTCACTGCTGGTCCAGGACAT